GGGGTGTTTTAAGATCTATGCTCAACAGTGTTAAATAGCAGTAAGTGTCCAGGTCCTTTAACAGCACTGAATGGTGCCCTTGTTCACATGGCATCTTGGCTCCTGAGTCACCTTAGAGCAGGCCCTTCAATTAGAGTCTAAGCTTGTTGAAGGCAATAGAGAGGCTGATGTTGGATCAAGCCCAGATCGCAGCTGGAAATTGCAAGGAAATCATTGACTCGGGCCAGATTTTTTCCACTGCAAAAATCTATCAAGTTGCAGTTTGCAGATCACACCAGGCAGGAGAACAGCAGCTTTTGCTGCCACCCCTGAAATTAACCAGGACAACTCTGCAGGGCTGTGGTAGAAACTAGTTCTGAGCAGGCTGTAACCTTAGACTCGCTGTTAAATTTGTTAGTCTCTAAGGTGCCACAAGTACTCCTGTTCTTTTTGTTAGCAATGAGCTCCCTGGAGGTGCTCAGGTTTCAGCAGCTGTGTTAGAAACTGCCTTTTTCTCTCTGTCTGGGGATGGGGTGTGTGGATTAGTCAGCTAGCGAGGTCAGTTCCGGAGGGCCGGCTGTACAGCCCCTCTGCATTAATGGGGAGGAGGTTCAGACCCTCTTCTCCCTCCTGCCTTAGGTCACTCCTCCTCCAAGGTCTGGTTCTACCGGGCCTGTATCGGCTTCTATTTGCTGTTGCTTACAGGGCCCGGTCCTGCTCCTGTGGCAGTTGAGAGCAGAACTCCCATTGCTTTCAGCGAGAGCAGGGATCTGCCCTATATTAAGACAGTGCCCTCTGTCCGGAGCTGGCCTTTCTGCTGCTGGAAGGGACAGACTTTGAGGGGCCCAACGCCAGTTGGAGTCCATGGGAGCTGGGAGCATTGCTCAACCCTGGCCAGCCTGTTTCTAGAAGGCAGCTTTGTAACAGCCACTTCCTATCTCTGCTCTCCCAGGGGCTTGGCTTAACTCTTCCATGGCTGCAGAGAGACTCTGTGACTCTCTTGCCTTGGACGAATTTCCCACCTTGTTGGGGTTTTTTGCTGAGTCATGCACCCCGAGATTTGGTTATATGATTCTGAAGGTCACGGGGCTGCTCTTTGTCACAGTGAGCGATAAGAAACCCCAGCTGTGTCAAAGCAACACGTTCTCCCCGAGCAGAAAGTGCAGCTTTACAATGACATTGCACATTTCTATCCCTTTAGAATCACGATAAAATTCTACCTCACAACTTCCCAGGGCACCACGAAAGTAAAATTCCCCTTTCGACTGAGACTCAGAAAGGGTGAGTGACTTTGCGTTAAGGTCACCCCGGCTTTGTCCTCACTGCAAAAAGATGTTTGTAGTTATTTCTCTCTCTGTAAACTCATGGTGGAGACAAGAGACTGGAGTTTTTACCTGGATGCAGCTAGTTGAGGTCTACCCTATCAATCGGCTACATCAGTGGTTCTCATCCTGTTTATCATTGTGTACCACATCCCAGTGCTACCTGTATGGCCCTGAGGATGGCACATGGGCCGCAACTCTGTGCTGATTGGGCTGCAAGCGGCCTGCGGTTGAGAACCACTGAGCCACATCAAGGTAAGAACCGCAGTGCCTTGGCCCCACCAGAATTTTACATCGAGACAGCTATCGCAGTGTAAAAACACCCTTTCTTGCAGTGATGACCAAGCCCCGATGAGTGAGTGACAGAGCTGGGAGTGGAACCCAGGTGTCCTCACACCAAGCCTGTGCTCTAACCACTAGACTGTACTCTCTTTATGGGAAAGAACTAGCGGTACACTGGACAAGGAACTCCAGTTCCGGCAGAATGTCCTTACACTGCGGACAATCCCAGAGCCGATCCTCTGGCTGGGACTCGGGACCCTGGCTGGAACCTATACCAGGAGGTGCTTGTCCCAAGCAATAGCATCATTTGTCTTGATTAAAGACCGTAAGAATTACAATTCCTGCCTTTCATGGCTGGGGAGAGGGAGATTCTCAGCTGGTGTAAATGAATCTGCCTGGATTTACAGAAGCTGAGGATAAGACCTTAGGTTTGTATCAGAGTCAGTGGCCCCTGGGGGCCTATGAGTATTCTCAGGAACTCGTGCCCTGCCCCTCCCCCCTGATTCTGCTGGGTTTATACTCTCCCTGCCCTCCCAGTAAATCCTCTCAGGGTCTGTCTACATTGCAGTTGGAGGTGTAACTGCAGCATGTGCCTCTAGCTAGCTTGCATGCCAATAGCAGTGCCGGCTCTACAAGTTCACCTGGGA